CTGTGGAAGCAGCAGCCAGCTTACAGCTCATGGATAATTTATGGCCCCAACAGAGAACCTGGAAGTAGCGAGGAGGAGGGGCAGGCGGTGGGGAAGGGCGGGGCCTGGACCCAGCTGTGGACAAGAGTGTTGGAGAGAAGCCAGCTGGGTCCAAAGTGTGTGTGAGGTTGGGGAAGGGGCTCCAAGGACAGGGACGGTCTCCGTTTCTGAGGAGACTGCGTTGAAAAAATAAACAAACAAAATAGGGTTATCAAAATAATCATGCTAAAGGGTAAAGCCATATGACAAGCAGCTTCAGACTCCAGTCCTGCTCCTGTCTCTCTGTCTGACCATATAACCTCATTTGGAGATAACATGAACAATTTTAATGGGAGGGTTTGTTTTACAGCTGTGAGGCCCTCAAATGACCCCCTACTCCCCACACCCACCCAAGACCTGGAAGAAAAGCCAGATTCCCCATTTAGATAGGCTGAACCCTGCCCCTTCCCAGCCTACTCCTCCAGGAAGGCCAGGAGGATTTAGCTAGGGGGTCTAGGGAAAAGGAGAGAATCTAGCAACTCCTTAAGTCACCCCAGGAATATAGCATCACACTTTCCTTCTGGAAGGGAAGATGGAAAATGTGACCCAAAATGGAAAGTGTCAAGTTCTCTTGGTCTCTTCTTTACATGTGATCTAGTGACCTAACTTAGTTCTTCTAGGGAGTCAGATGATCAAGTATAGAGGCTCCTCAATTTACGAAGGAATTGTGTCCTGATAAACCCATTGTAAGTTGAAAATGTATTTAATACATCAAGCCAGCCTGGCTCAGGCTCAGTGGCTCACACCTATAATCCTAGCACTCTCGGAGGCCGAGGTGGGAGGATTGCTCAAGGTCAGGAGTTCAAAACCAGCCTGAGCAAGAGCGAGAGACCCCGTTTCTACTAAAAAATAGAAAGAAACTAATTGGCCAACTGAAAATATATAGAAAAAATTAGCCAGGCATGGTGGCGCATGCCTGAAGTCCCAGCTACTTGGGAGGCTGAGGCAGGTCACTTGAGCTCAGGAGTTTGAGGTTGCTGTGAGCGAGGCTGACGCCACAGCACTCTAGTCCAGGCAACAGAGTGAGACTCTGTCTCAGAAAAACAAAAAAAATACTTCTAACCTACAGAACATCATAGCTTAGCCGAGCCTACCTTAAATGGGCTCAGAACACTTACGTTAGCCAACAGTTGGGCAAAATCATCTAACACAAAGCCTGTTTTATGATAAGGTATTGAATATCTCGTGCAATTTATTGAATACTGTGCTGAAAGTGAAAAACAGAATGGTTGTGTGATACTGCAAGTAGGATTTCTACTGAATGGGTATCACTGTCACACCATGGTAAAGTCTAGTGATGGTAAGTTGAACCACTGTAGGTCAGGGACTGTATGTGCATATGGAGGAAGGGGTAAACAAGGAAGCCTATCTTCCCCTTTACCTCAGTTTCCCCACCTGAGTCATGGGCATGAGAAGTACTCCCCTCCCAAGGGCCATTTGGGGGACAGAAGAGATGCTATCCAGGCACCTCTGGCGCCAGCTGAGACCCAGGCAGGCAGTGATTATGGGGTGATGTTGGGCCTGGAGTTTGGGCTGGGGCTGGTCTCCGTGACCTGTCCCAGCCCCCAGCACACCCCCATCTAATCCCCAAATCATCTTGGAACTTGCTCATGAAGGGGGCTGGGAAGGGCTGTGCCCGCCTGGTACCCAACCCAATTCTCTGGGCCTCAGTTTCCCCATCCATACAGTTGAGGCCATCCTCCAGGGCTGACCTTGGATAGGACAAGAGAAGACCTGGAGCAGAGCCCCAGAGTGAGGAAACCAACCATGGTGGAGCTTGAGTCTTGTGACAGCCAGGACGCCTCCCCCCCCCCCCGGCACCAACTGGACACTGGACACAACCTTCTGACATAGGGAAGGGGCCACTCTGTCCCGAGGGGAGACCTTGTTCTCCCAGAGATGGGAAGCACCGAGGTGAAACCTCAAGAACTACTATTTATTTTTATTTTTATTTATTTTGAGACAGTTTTGCTCTGTCGCCCGGGCTAGATTGCCGTGGTGGTGTCAGCCTAGCTCACAGCAACCTCAAACTCCTGGGCTCAAGCAGTCCTCCTGCCTCAGCCTCCTGAGTAGCTGGGACTCCAGGCGTGCACCACCATGCCTGGCTAATTTTTTCTATTTTTTTTAGTTGCCCAGCTAATTTCTTTCTATTTTTAGTAGAGACCAGGCCTCAGCTCTTGCTCAGGCTGGTCTCAAACTCCTGAGCCCAAGTGATCCTCCTACTTTGGCCTCCCAGAGTGCTAGAATTACAGGCGTGAGCCACCGTGCCCAGCCAAGAACTGCTTTTTAGATCTAAGGGGAATATCTTCCATCGGAACTTACTGGATTTGGGGGGAGCCCAACGTACTCCCTCCCCTGACCATTACTCTCAGGATTCAGGAAGTCACTGGTCTAAGCAGGTTCCTACATCAGGGCTAATCCCAGGAGCTGACAATGGGACAGGGGCAGGGGTGGGGGGAGGATGGTTCCTGAACCAAGCCTGAAGGGGCGCTGGCCTGCTGGCTCCCATCCCATCACAGGGGCTTTATCTCCACATCCTGCAGCCCTCACCTTCCTCTCCCTGGCCCCAGCTGACAGCTAAAGGGACAAGGCCAACACCTGAGACCAGGTATTTTCCCTCCCCTCCCTTCTGTAAGTAGCCCTGATTTAGTGAGAAAAGGTCCAAACCCAGCCTGAGGAACCTGCTGCTTCTCATCTCACAGTATCGCCTGAGCAGAGGGGACCAATAACTGCATTGCAAGACTGTGTTGACGGTTGTACTTAATTTGTCAAGTGCCTGGCACACAGTAGGCACTCAATACATTGTAGTAGCTAGGATTTCCCTAGGATGGGGTCTTTCTGGGCCCAGGGGCCTCTATGGCATCTGACTGTGGCCCTACTGTGTAGGGTCGGCCTCCCCAGCACCTTTTGGCCTTTTGTCCCTAACCCCCTGCCCACTGCACTGCAGATTCTAGGACCGGGAGGTGCTGGGTGGGTGTGGGGGCGGGGTGCAGAGGTGGACCCAGTGAGACATAGCCCTGGAGGAGGCATAGGCGTCTGCGCTGGGTGGGGCTGGGAGACTGGGCTGGAGGGCCCCAGGCTGGGACCGGTTTGGGGAGCTGGCAGCAGGGATGAGTGGGAGGAGCCGGCAGCTCCCAGGGACAGGGGAGCTGAATAAGGCAGACCAGACTGGGTGGCTGGGGTCAAAGGCCCAGATTGGGGGTGCCTAGAAGGGCTGGCCTTGCTCCCAGGGGTACCCCACACATATACTGCTTCCCCATCACTCATTCAGATGCACACACGGACAGACCTCCCAACACACTGCAACTGCAGCCCCAGCTCCCTAAGCCCTTACCTGGCTCTATTTCCCATCTCCCGCATCCAACACACCTACCGAATTTCTATCCTAACATTGACTGTTTACTGCCCGTCTCCTCGCTGAATATAAGCACTGCAAGGGCAGGGCGTTTGGACTGCTTTGTTCACTATTGTATGCCCATCACTTACTGCATGCCTGGCACATAGTAGGAGCTCAATAAATATGTGCTGAATGAGTGAATGAACCCCCTAAACATACATTCATATCACACATGCACACTCACAGACACACACACGCAGAGACTCCTTCGCAGGCACCCAGGAGGCTACGGTAGACATTCTAGACCTGTGTACCCGGGCGCACGCTCACACCCAGATCCACACATCCATGCAACGCACACGCACACAAGCACTCAGACCCACGCCCAGCCGTCCAGATTCCAAAGCTGGTACTCACGCCAGGCGCCAAGTCTGCGCAGACACGCTCCAGCACATCCCACTCCCACCCTCTCCAGTGCCAGCCCTGCAGGGCAGCCCCTCCCAGAAACAGGAGTGGAGCCTCATTGGAGCTGACAACACAGTAGCTTGAAAGGGGTGGGGTGGCGCAGGGCCACCCTGGCACCTGGGAGCTGTCAGGAAACGCTAGCAGGGCAGACGTGTCTCCCTGGCAGACCCACCTATGGGAGGGAGGAGGCAGGAGTGAAGCGCCCAGCCTGGACCCAACCCTTGCTCCAGACTCAGACTCTGCCCTGCCAGCCCTCATCGTGACCAAAGGCCTAGGGGAGGGGTTTGGGGGGGTGGATAGACAGTTCTCCTGGGCACAGAGGTGTCACCTGGCACATCTAGGGGGAGGGCAGGGGTGTGGCAGTGAGAACTCAGCTTCTCAGCTTTGACTCCACCCTCCAGCAGAAAGACACCTTTACCACCCTACACCCTGGGAGGCTAGAAATGTGGGACAGCATTGTCACCTGGCTGGCCTTGGTCCTGGGTCTCTCCCAGAGAGGCCCCTTTTGCCCCCACCTCCCTGCTGTGAGTCACAGTGCTGGGTGGTAGCTAACAGGCACCATCCTTGCCCCCACACCTCTGGACTCTCTGCCCCCTGGAGCCAATGTAAGATTGGGCAAGAGGGGTCTGGCTGTGCCACTGCACCCCAAGAAGTGCCAGGTAATCAAACTACATTATAGGGTTCCCCTGGCTGCTAAGCTAGGTCCCCAACCTGGCTCTGGAATGGAGGAATGGCCACAAGGGGAAGGGCAGGACACATCTGCTCCGACTCTAAGGAACCTGGGCCAGTAAATGCCGGGAAAGTAAACAGCAGGAGTAAACGTCCTGGGCCCCCTCCGCACACTTGCCACATTCCCCAGGGAAGCGATGTTGAACAGGGAAAATGCAGACATCCCACCTTAGAAATCTGAATCCACCATTTTCCCGAGCCTGGGGCGGGCGCTGTGTCCTCACGCCCCCTGGCGGCCGGTCTGCAGTCGCACGCTGCACGCGCTGCTCACACAACGTCCCCCGCCCCAGCGGACGGAGGACCAGCCTGGGCGCTGGACTGGACTGTGCCCCTCGCCCCACTCTACAGATGAGAGGAGATGGGCGCAGAAGCAGGGAGGGCAGAACCTGTGTCCTCGCAGGCGAGCCCTGGGGAGACTGGACCCAGGTGCTGTGTTTATTGCAAACATTTATTGAGCACCTGCTGTCAGGGAACCGGAACCGCTGGACTGCTGGTCCAGAGCTCTTCACGACCCTGCCCGACCCTCTGCAATTCCAACTGAGACTCCCGCCAGCAGCTGGAAGCTTCTCCTCCAGGTGGGGGAGCAGCGGGGAGGAGGACGGAGCCCCGTGAGCCCACCTGCCGCCTTGTGGTCCAGACACAGAAGGCACAGACAGGATGGGGTGTGGGCGGCAGTGCTCACAGTAGGGCAGGACAGGGGCCCAGTCAGCTGTGTCCGTTTCAAGTTTTTAATAAATAGTTCTTGCTGCCGCCTGGGCTGACGAGGGTGGTGCCATCGGGCTCAGGCTTTCCAAGCTCCTGAGGGGCGTGGGTGCCCCCTTCTCATGCCAGGTCAGGCTCTGGCTCTAAAAGCAAAGGAGAAAGCACTGTCCAGGTGCCGTCCTGGCAGGAGGTGGGGTGGACAGGAGGGTCTCCAGGAACAGGTCTCTGCTGGTCCCAGTTCCAGAGAAGACACTGCACCTCCCCCCTCCCCCAAGCGGGACAGGGCTTGCTGGAAGCTCCGAGAGGAGGGGTCCCGGCACCCACACACATATTCCGGGCTCTGAAGTGCAGTGGGTGGATCCATCTGTCCCCAGCCTCCATCCCAAGCTGTGTCCCTCCCCCACCCCATCCAGGACCCATGTCACTGACCAGCCTCAGCCTCGTCACCCTTGGCATCTGGCTCCTGCCACCAGTCGGCATAGATGCTCTCCTCATAGTCACCTTCCCCCTCAAACTCGGCATCAGATGGGGCATCCTTGGAGTGCGTGGGCAGTTCTGTCTCCTCCACCTCCATCTAGAACAGCCCCATTGGTGAGTGAGAGACTAGGGCAGGGCAGGCCCAAGCCCAGAAGGGCTCCCTTCCTGGCCAAGGGGACCTCCTACCCACTTCTCAGTCCCCAAAGCCTCTCCTTCCCTAGTCTGAAGGTCTAAGGAGACTGTTTTGAGGATTTCTCCTGCCAAACTGCCCCCTCCCTGAACGGATGCGCGGGCTTCACCTGCAGAGATCTAGTGTGAGCACGAACACTGCCCCTCCACAGTCCCGCCCCATAGGCACAAATGCCCTGGTGACGATACTGCTGCTCCACGCATAACACTTGCTCATACTGTTGCCCCTCCAGGAACGCTGCTACTCCCCCGCCCACCGGTAGCTGGTTATGTCTCCCTCCCTAGACGGTGAGCTGCTTGGGAAAGAGATTGCGCCTTTCAACAACTAACCCCAGCCCCAAGCCTGGTGTCTGGCAAACAGCAGGCCACAGTGACAGGCATCAAAATGGCTACACTCACTGAGTACCTACTATGTGCTGGCTGTAGAGGAAGTGCTTTACATACATGATGTCATTTAATTCTCACCACAAGGGTGTGAGATGGGCATGATTCTCCCCATTCGATGGGGAGAGATGATGGATTAAGAAACAGACGTTTGAGGCCGGGCGCGGTGGCTCACGCCTGTAATCCTAGCACTCTGGGAGGCCGAGGTGGGCGGATTGCTCGAGGTCAGGAGTTCGAAACCAGCCTGAGCAAGAGCGAGACCCCATCTCTACTATAAATAGAAAGAAATTAATTGGCCAACTAATATATATATATATATAGAGAAAAAATTAGCCGGACATGGTGGCGCATGCCTGTAGTCCCAGCTACTTGGGAGGCTGAGGCAGGAGGATCGCTTGAGCCCAGGAGTTTGAGGTTGCTGTGAGCTAGGCTGGCGCCACGGCACTTACTCTAGCCTGGGCAACAAAGTGAGACTCTGTCTCAAAAAAAAAAAAAAAGAAACAGACGTTTGAGAGGCCATCTAAGGCTTGCCTGGAGGCTACCCAACCGGTAAGTGGTGAGGCCAGGTCTGGCTAGCACCTAAGCCTGGGTGCGGACAGTGTGGACCCTGCCCCTGTGTTTGATGAGCAGGGGCGTAGGGGTGTGAGCTAAGGAGGGGATGAATAAATAACCACTGAGCAAAGCACCACGGAGACGTTCAGGCTGTCAAACCCTCATTTGAAATCAATGTAATGCGCTATGGTCCTTCCTTCCTGGCATCCAGTATTCGTTCAATCATTTATTTGCTGGTTCATTCAAACTCAGTTCTGAGCAGGGAGCAGGAGCTCAGTGCAGGTGCTGTGCTGAGAGCTGGGAGTAAGCTGGTCCCCTGACTTAGACTGCAATCCTCCAGGAGACTGGCTGGAGAAGGGGCTCAAGGGTGAGATGGACCAGGGCTGCAAACAACCCCAGGTCCAGGCCACAGGTGGCCAGGGAGGCGCAGAGGATCAGAGTTGGCATTGGGAGCTCAGAAGACAGAGGCAGGGCAGGCAGTGAGGGCTTCCTGGAGGAGGCACCATCTGAACTGGCCTGGGGGAAGCAGGACTGGGACACATACAGAACAACGAGGTCGGGGAGAGAAGGGAACGCTGTAGAAAAGGTACAAGGACAGGCCGGGTGTGGTGGCTCACACCTGTAATCCTAGCACTCTGGGAGGCAGAGGCAGGAGGATTGCTTCAGCCCAGAAGTTCGAGAGCAGCCTGAGCAAGAGCAAGATCCTGTCACTATAAAAAATAGAAAAATTAGCTGGGCATGGTGGTGGCACCTGTAGCCTCAGCTACCCAGGAGGCTGAGGCTGGAGGATCGCTTGAGCCCAGGAGTTGGAGGTTGCAATGAGCTGTGATGACACCATTGCACTCTAGCCTGGGTGACAGAGTGAGACCCTGTCCCCCTAAAAAAAAGTGGGGGCGGGGGGGAACTAGGACAACCTCTCCTGCTTCACTGCAGCTGACTACTGGGGACTGGGACTGAACTCTGGCATGTGTAGTGGCGCCAGGAAAAGGCCCAAGGACCACATCACAGCCGGGCCCTGGAGGCAGGGGCCACTCACCTCGTCGTCTGACTGCAGGTACATGCGGGTGAACTCCAGCAGCTCCCGCAGCTCGGAGGTCTGGTTGTGGTAGAGTGTGGCCTCCTGGAAGGAGATGGGGGTCAGTGTGACTCAGCTGGACTGTGCTGCCAGATGGCAGGGAGCCAGGGCTCCTAGGATCTGGGCCCACTGGCCCTCTTCCAGCTCAAGGACCAGGGAACAGGTATCAGCTCACATGCTGATCGAATAATCATAGCTTCTGGGAGCGCTGGGTTAAGGAGGATTCTGAGGGTTCAGTGGGAAACAGTGCCTCAATCGATTAGCAATGTCTGCCACTGACAAGGAAAGTGGGAGTGGCACCATGTGCCCCATATTTGTCAGACTCCAAGGGGTTTCCTCAGCTGGTCAGGCTAAGGGGGCCCTGGGGAAGAGGGGCAAAGGCCAGCAGTGAGGGTGATGAAGGTGTGCAGGAGGGAAGGCTGGAATAGACACATATTTTGGTACCTCCCACATCCAGATGTCCCCATTTTGCAGGTGGGGCAACAGATTTGGCAGAGGTCATAATGCTCCCAGGACTACACAGCTGTGGGGCTGGGCTTTAAACCCAGGACTCTAAACGTGACCCACTTTTTTTTTTTTTTTTTGAGACAGAGTCTCACTTTGTTGCCCTGGCTAGAGTGCCGTGGCATCAGCCTAACTCACAGCAACCTCAAACTCCTGGGCTCAAGCGATCCTCCTGCCTCAGCCTCCTGAGTAGCTGGGACTACCGGTATGCGCCACCATGCCCAGCTAATTTTTTCTATATATTTTTAGTTGGCCAATTCATTTATTTCTATTTATAGTAGTGATGGGGTCTCGGTCTTGCTCAGGCTGGTTTCGAACTCCTGACCTTGAGCAATCCACCCGCCTCAGCCTCCCAAAGTGCTAGAATTATCGGCATGAGCCACCGTGCCTGGCCTGCAACCTACTTTCTTTCTTTCCACTTCCTCTCCTATCTTCCGAGGAAGCCATGAAATATTTTTACAAACTGCATGCCAGCAAGGGGTACCTACCTCCCGGGGCTGGAAGTCCTCCTCCTCCAAGCCCCAGCGAGCCCGGTGGAAGCGGTAATACACCAGGTTCTGCTGCATGACGCTGTCCTTGGGGTCAAAGAGCATGTAGCTGGCGGCGCTGCGGGCAGCCTGGCGCACGTCGTTCACTGCAGCAGGGCAGGGTGAGGAGCAGCCCCTTCAGAGTCCACCCCACCTAGCCCACCCCAACCCCAGCCTGCAGCTCAGCCCAGTGCCCCTGCTGCTGGCTGCCTCCCAGAATGTCTGCTGGGCTCCACACCCCACCCAAGAATAATGCAAACTTGCACGAGATGGGTACTTACTGTGTCAGGTCCTATGCAACTCATTTATATCATACTCATTTTACAGACAAGAAATCTGAGGCATGGAGAGGTTACATAAATTGCTCCAACTTCCGCAGCAGAAGCATGGTGGCACTGAGGAATTGGAGGACCTCAGCCTCTCTACTCTCTGCCTACACCCATGAGGGGTCTCCCAGCCCCTTGGTTCTTGGCCCTACACTCCAGCTTAGGTCCTGTCTGCATCTCGGCATCTCTGCATTGCCAGAACCCTGGAGGTTGTCCACCCAGCCCCAGTTGCTGCCAGGATCTCTCGCAAGTAAGGATAGCCACAAGTCCTGGTGCTTTTTATTTATTTATTTATTTATTTATTTTTTTGAGACAGAGTCTCACTTTGTTGCCCAGGCTAGAGTGAGTGCCATGGCGTCAGCCTAGCTCACAGCAACCTCAAACTCCTGGGCTCAAGCAATCTGCTGCCTCAGCCTCCTGAGTAGCTGGGACTACAGGCATGCACCACCATGCCCGGCTAATTTTTTCTATATATATTAGTTGGCCAATCAATTTCTTTCTATTTATAGTAGAGACGGGGTCTTGCTCTTGCTCAGGCTGGTTTCGAACTCCTGACCTTGAGCGATCCGCCCGCCTCGGCCTCCCAGAGTGCTAGGATTACAGGCATGAGCCACCGCGCCAGGCCCTGGTGCTTTTTATTAGTCCTGTGACCAAATGGCTCTTTCCCCTCTGTGAGCCTCAGTTTCCTCATCTGAAAAATGAGTTGGGGGGCCGGGCGAGGTGGCTCACGCCTGTAATCCTAGCACTCTGGGAGGCCGAGGCGGGTGGATCACTCAAGGTTAGGAGTTCGAAACCAGCCTGAGCATGAGCAAGACCCCGTCTCTACTAAAAATAGAAAGAAATTAATTGGACAACTAAAATATATAGAAAAAATTAGCCGGGCATGGTGGTGCATGCCTGTAGTCCCAACTACTTGGGAGGCTGAGGCAGGAGGATCGCTTGAGCCCAGGAGATTGAGGTTGCTGTGAGCTAGGCTGACACCATGGCACTCACTCTAGCCTGGACAGCAAAGTGAGACTCTGTCTCAAAAAAAAAAAAAAAAAAAAAAAATGAGTTGGGGAATGTCAGCTGCATGGTGTTGTGAGAAGATCTAGTGAGAAAAAGGGCCTCGTAACCTGGTAAGTGCTTTGCAGCTGCTGGGTGTCCAGTCATTTTCCCGAAATGCTCTGATTCTCTGAGACCACCCTCTGTTCCCACTCATAAGCCTCTTACCTGCCCCAGACTCCCAGAGGTCCTTTCCCAACTGCCCACCACCCCTGGTGTTTCCTCCCACCACCCAGGTCCTCGGTTCTCAGGGCTGGCTCCCCACGACTCTGGGAGGCTCCCAACCCAGCCCTCTCCCTCACCCCTTCCTCCCCTGCCCAAGCCCATCCAGGCTCACGCTTATAGTAGGCAAACTGCAGGTAGTGATACATGGTGGCCACAAACTTGTCTACGAAGTAGCCGCCCACATTGGGGGTCAGATTGGTCTCACAGTCCACCTTGCACTGCAGGGACTCTGCAAAGAGATCTGGGGGTGGGGGCAGCAGTGAGGAGCTCGCCGTGTGGCTGAACAGCTCCATCCACCGTGGGACTCCAAATTCCAGCTCTGCCTCCTGGGCCCCTTGTCTTGTCCAGAAAATGCGTTGCTGTTGCAATCACAGGAGAGATAATGTGTGTTTAGGACATACGATCTGTGATGCTGAGGTAGATTACTGTGAGCTGGGCTCACTTACTACCCTACCCCACCACTCAACCTCCAACCCAACCCAGAGGGAGCCAGAGCCCTCAGGGAGAACAGCAGGTGGGGTTGGGGAGCAAGACAGAAGCCCAAACACAGAAGCAAAAGACAGCCCTTTCCTCCCCCCAGGGGGGGCACCGTTGCCCCTGCAGTGTTCTCTGCCTGGAAGCCTGTGAATCTAAGCTTCCCAGACCCTCTTGGATGTCACCGACTCTCTGCACAGATGCCCAGCACATTGGACACTCCTGACTGTAGCGCTCTGCACCCAGCAGATTCTCTGGGCAGACTGGAGGCTCCGTGAGGGCTGAGACAACACATCACTCCGCAGCACTTCCTCGTGTTCCATGCGCGGGGGATGTGTATCTGTGTCAAGTGGCCTTAGGAAGCAGGGCCGGCTACCTGCTATGGCTGGGTAGAAGTCCTTGAAGTCCACCTGCTCGTGGGCCCCTTCGCAGCCGGCCAGACACCGGGCAAAGACCGCCAGGTATTCGGCCAGGGCCCGCTCCATGTCCTCAGTGCTGCTGCGGAAATCCCCGCTGTTGTAGAGCTTCACAGCCCGGAGGAACACGGCCTGGAGGAGGGCAGGGCAGGGGGAGTCAGAGGGACCCCAACACCTCCCTCTTCTACAAGCCATGTCTCTCCCGCCCCCACCTCATAGGGCTGGGCCTCTAGGTCCGTGAGGGCGTCGTCGGCGATGTCCAGCATCCCCCGGTAGTAGCTGAGATACTTGGCGGTCAGCTCGTGCTTAGGGTTCCTCTGCAGGAAGGTGTAGGCCGCGGCCACCGCCTTCTCCAGCCGGTTAGCCTGGTGGGGGCGTGCGGGGAGCGGGTCAGGAGGGCCAGAGCCCGCAGCCCTGAGTGCACAGCGGGCTTCGTGCTCTGGGGGAGGGCAACGCTCCCAGTCCGGCCGGTGCGGAAACCCGACGCTGCGCCCGAGACGGGCCCGGGGCGGGTGGCGCCGGGCGCAGCGCCCACCTTGAACAGCGCGTAGTGCAGGTACTGGTAGGGCAGGCGGCTCTGGAAGTCGCGCAGTAGCTGGCGCGGCGGGTAGGGCACCTGGAAGGCGGGCAGCGTGCGCTTGCAGCGTCGCAGGCAGGCGGCGCGCTCCAGGACGTGGCCGAAGAGCCACAGCTCGCGGGCCCACTCGTCGTCGCCGCCGCCGTCGGGGCCGGGCGCGGGCGCGGCGCTGGAGGCGGCGGGCGGCGCGGGGCCGCTGCAGTTGGCGTGGCAGAAGGCCTCGCTGTCGCGCAGCAGCCGGTGCAGCCGCAGCGCCGCCTCGAGGTAGCGCGCGCTCTCGCGCCAGCTCTCGCCCTCGTACAGCTCCAGCGCGTGCCCGTAGGCCGCGGCCAGCGGCATCAGGTCCTCGGGCGGGAAGCCGCGGAAGCTGTACTTCTCGTACTGCGCGCCGGCGCTGCCCAGCAGCAGCCACAGCAGCCCCCAAGCCGCGCGACCCATGCCCCCGCCGGCCGGCTCCACGGAGCAGAGGGCGGCCCGGCCCGAGGGGCGGGCGGGGGCCGGGGCTGGTGGCGCGCCCGCTGGGTCTTAGCGCCGGGCACTCAGGGCCGGACGGCGGGGGAGGGGCCTAGGTCGCGTCTCCGCTCTTTTTCAGAGGGTCCAGTAATGTCCTAGGTCCCCTACGTTGGCCTGACTTCCTGCCCTTGGAGGGGTCTTCCCCTTGGCAGATAGTGGGTAGATAGGGGAATGCTTCACGCCAAAGATGGGCCACCCAGAAAGCGCCTCCCCAAAGATAGCGTCCCACCTTAAGATCAAGCCGCTGAGGGACGTGCCGCCTCCCTCAACCCTGCCTGAGAGGGTGAAGCCAGGGAACCCCGTCTTCCATCCCCGCCCCCCGCTGCACACTCCAGGTGTCTCCCCCGCCCACGTCGGGTAGCACACACCTGATTGCAGCCTGCACGCCTTCCTCCGTCACCTCCACCCACTCGGTCCCATCCCCGTGTCACAGAGTCCTTGCAGTCTAGCTTTTGCGGGACAAAGCTGCTCTTTCCTGGAGAGACCTTCCCTTGGAGGACAGTTGGGAGAGGGGAGCAAACACTGACATACCCCTCAGATTCTGGGGTCTCACCACCCACTTGGAGGGGCCTAGATTTGGGGGTGCCAGCAGCAAGGGATGCCTTAGCCCGGCTTTAGGACCCGGGGACTCCGGAAAAAGAGGCTGAACTTTTTTTTTTTTTGGAGTCCACTCAGACTACTCATCTTTCCCGAACCTCCCTCCCCGGCCAGGCCCCAGGTCTCAGCCCCGGTGGAGATGGGGGAGGGGCATCCGGAGCTCTTTGTGGCCCGTTACTCCCACTCCACCACCCTCAGCCTGGCCCCCTCCTCCCATCCCACCCCGACCCCACACACCCCGCCCGGCCAGCTCAGTCTCCCCAGCCCCCATTCCACGTGGACCAGCCTGGGGCGGGCTGGGAAGGGGGACAGGAAGGGGGGGAGCCACCTCCGGGAGGAGGGGAAAGGAGGCTCCCTCGGCCTCACTGCCTGAAGTCCCAACTCCAGGCACCATGTTCCCCGCCGGGCCCCCCAGCTACACCCTCCTCCGGCTCCCCCTGCTGCAGTTGCTGCTGCTGCTGGTGCAGGCCGTGGGGAGGGGGCTGGGGCGCGCCAGCCCGGCTGGGGGCCCCCTGGAGGATGTGGTCATTGAGAGGTACCACATCCCCAGGGCCTGTCCCCGGGAAGTGCAGATGGGGGACTTTGTGCGCTACCACTACAATGGCACTTTCGAGGATGGCAAGAAGTTTGACTCCAGGTAATGCGTTGGTCGCCCCCAGACTCGCCACTGCCCTTCCCTGAACCCCGGATCTGGGTCCTGTGGTTACTTTGTTGCCTCTTTTAAGCCCTGTATCCCAGTACTCACTCGGTGATCCCCTAACCCCAGACAGCACCTTCAGGGGCTCCTAGACTTCCATCTCCCCAAGGATAGCCCCCTGCACCAATTCCGAACCTTCACCTCTCAAAGGACCCCAATTTCTTTCACAGAAGCTCCACATGTCCCTCAACTTACTTGATAATCAAGGTGCCCTGTTTACTTACCATTGCTGTGTTTAAGGACAAGGTGGAGGGGGCTGTTCTGGCCTACAGTGGTGGGGGAAGGGGTGGTCCCTGCTATGTGGGAACCCTGGGTCGTCTGTCATCAGCCTGGGACCCTCTTCCTTTCCACCTACCCTGACTCCCTTCCTGGTTCCATCTCCAGTTTTCAGTGTTTTTGTGTTTAGAGAACGAGGAATAGAACATTTTTTGGAGGGGGTGGGAATTTTCAGCAGCCGCTGGGTGGGCATAAACCTGGTGGACATTATAATAAGACAGTTGGATGGACCTGGGGGATAGGGCATGGCTTGGTCAGAGGCCCCATCTGTCTACGTGTCACCCACTGAGACTGCCACTCTGGGCTCCTCTGAGGGTTTTGTGCCTCCCTCTGCGGTTCTCCACACCCCCACCTCCCACGCTTCCAGCTGCACCAGGCCAGTGCCCCGGCTGCCCGTCCTGCCAGCCTTTGGTTTGCACTGTTGTTGGCAGGGGCAGGGCAGGGCAGGGCTGTGCGCCAGCCTCGGGTAAACCTTGGGTCTCTGAGTTCATATTCCTTAGACCCTTCCCCAAACAACACACAACTCGGCCGACAGCAGGTACTATATACTGGGTGAGAATACAAACTTCAGAATTCAAAGGGTCCAAATCCAGGCTATGACTGCAGACAAGGAATTTTGTCTCTTTAAGCTTCACTTTCCTTATCTAAAAAATGGAGATAAAAACAGCACCCACTGGCTAAGGCTGCTGTTAGGACTCAAACAAGATGAATGAAAGTAGATTCTTCACAGTGCCTGGCGTCCTTGAGCAGGTTCCATACATATTAACCTTGACTGTTATGAGAACCATATGCCCTGTTGGAGTTTAACTTATAGAAACTTCTGCAGAGCTTGGGCCTTCCTAGCAGCACTATGAAGGAAACAGGCCAGACCTGAAACCCATGTCATGGGCAAAGCCAAGTGCAGGCAGTAACCAGGAGTACAGCCCTCGTGGGGACTCTGGGAGCCTGGCTGGGGCCCAGCTCGTCAGTGTTGAGCTTCGAAAACTTTCTTAACCCATGGCCCACTTCCATCACAATAAAAAATTTCTGAAAACTGAAAATAAATGAGAAGCATATAACTAAAAACAAATAAAAGCCATGGCAATTTTAAAATAGGCCTTTTCACAATTTGAAACCACTGTCCGTCCCCACCTCTGCCAGCTCTGCTTCCCCTTCCTTTTCTTGGAGAAGTGACAATGCAGTGACAAAAACAAGGGCTTTGGGATTCAGCTGACCACATATCAGCTATGTGACCTTGAGCCAGGCACTTAGTCTTTCATGTCTCAATTTTTCTCATAAGAAAAGCAAAAACAATAATGCCCACCACACAGGGGGGATGATTAAGTAAGATAATGAATGTAAAATGACAAGCATTTCATCTGGCATGTATTAAGTGCTCAGTAAATGTTCCTTTGCCCCTCTGTGCTGTACTGACCACTCATTTGAAGTCTGCAAACAGTAGCAGTGGCCAGGCCTGTCCACCCCACCCGACCCCCATCCCAGGGCAATAGAAGGCCCTGGCCTCCTGGAAGGGGTCCCCTTTTGTATTGGCCCATCCTCTTAAGGGGGCATCACGGCTGACCTAGGAGGGAGACTTGAAAGACAGGAGAGGAGCGTGTGTATGCGTCTCACCTGTGTACGGGCAGGGGATCCTGTGTGCTCCTGTGCATGATGTGACCATGGGAGGGACAGACTGCATGACACAGACCATGGCTGTGTGAGTCCTCCCCTCTGCACCCCTAAAGTCTCCATATCCCATCTGTCCCTCTCTCAGCTATGACCGCAGCACCTTGGTGGCCATCGTGGTGGGCGTGGGGCGCCTTATCACCGGCATGGACCGGGGCCTCATGGGCATGTGTGTCAACGAGCGGCGCCGCCTCATCGTGCCTCCGCACCTGGGCTATGGCAGCATCGGCGTGGGTGAGAAGGGCAGGCACAGGCTGGGGGTGGGCGGAGGAGACCAGCAGGTAGAATCAGGGATCCCAGGGCCAGAACACTGAAGTGCAGAGACAGGGAGCAACTTGTCCAGGGTCATGCTGCACATGCAGTATGAACAGTGGCAGCTCTGGGACTAGAGTGTCAATCTCCTGCCACTGGGATGAGAGGAAAGGGGAGTGACAGGGCCCTGGGTGGGATCTTGGCTTGGCTGGGAAGGAGAGGAGCTGGGGTGGGGGAGGAGGGGAGCAGGACTCTCAGACCCCACTCCAACCCCACCCTGGGGTCTGCGCCAAACACAAGCCCCTGCTGCTCTGCCCTCACAGCGGGGCTCATTCCACCCGATGCCACCCTCTACTTCGACGTGGTCCTGCTGGATGTGTGGAACAAGGCGGACACTGTGCAGGTGAGCATCCTGCTGCGCCCGCCCCACTGCCCCCGCATGGTCCAGGACAGCGACTTTGTCCGCTACCACTACAACGGCACTCTGCTGGACGGCACCTCCTTCGACACCAGGTAATAAGGGGCTGGAGGGGAGCCCTGGGGCACGAGGGGCTGTGGCATAGGGAGGGAAGTCCTGGCCCCACCTGCCTCTCCCGCCCCCCGCAGCAGCACCTCCACCTCATTCTCTGCAGCTACAGTCGGGGCGGCACTTACGACACCTACATCGGCTCTGGCTGGCTGATCAAGGGGATGGACCAGGGGCTGCTGGGCATGTGTCCTGGAGAGAGAAGGAAGATCATCATCCCTCCATTCCTGGCCTATGGAGAGAAAGGCTATGGTGAGGGCAGGCGGGGACTCAATGAGGAATTCTCCAGAAGAGGGAAACCAGGCTCCGCATACACTTGTTCAGGTTGTGTACTGCACAATTGCATCCATCCAGGGAGGCAAGTCAGGATGAAATCTAGCCCTTGGTGATCGTCTCACTAAGAAGGGATGCTTTACTCTGATTCACACAAAGGCTCAGTGTGTGCTAGTGGTGGCCCTGGGGGAACCCAGCTCAGGCCCCACGAGAAGGGCAAGAAACCAGGCTGCGGATGGGAGGGAAAGGGCACGGTGCCCACCTAGGCCTTCCTGGGTCAAGGAGCCCCAGGTCGCTGCTCACCTGTGTGGCTCAAGCCCTATCCCTTCCCCAGGGACTGTGATCCCCCCGCAGGCCTCCCTGGTCTTTCACGTTCTGCTCATTGACGTCCACAACCCAAAGGACACTGTCCAGCTAGTGACACTGGAGCAACCCCCGGGCTGTGTCCGGAAAGCCGTGGCTGGAGACTTCATGCGATACCACTACAACGGCTCGCTGATGGATGGCACCCTCTTTGACTCCAGGTCAGGATGGTCCTGGGGAGGGGGGGTGGCAGCTGGGGAAAGGTGGAGGAAGAAGCTGAGGCAGGAAGGAAAACTCCAGGTGCTGGGGTCGCCCTGGGCAGCAGGTGGGGGTTCACTCGGAGTTGCCTGGAAGAGGAGGGGCTCCTTTGACTCCCTCCCTGGCCTCCACCTTGTGTTACAGCTACTCCCGCAACCACACCTACAATACCTATGTCGGGCAGGGTTACATCATCCAGGGCATGGACCAGGGGCTGCAAGGCGCGTGCGTAGGGGAGCGCCGGAGAATCACCATCCCGCCCCACCTCGCCTACGGGGAGAACGGAACTGGTAGGGCTGCTCCCTGCTCCTGCTCCCGACGCCACCCCTGAGGTCACCCCTGTACCCGCAGCTCCTTCCCTGAACTGCCCATTGCGGCCACCCACCCTCAGTGGTGGAATTCCAGCCACCACTCTGCCCCTCTCATCTGAGAAATGAGAAACGTGTGCAGTTTACATCCGGTCACCCCTCTAATTCCTGCCACACGTACTCCATCCATTTTCTCCAGGGCAGTGCCCCACTGCCCCCTTCCATGGTGGAGAAGGACAGCCACCTCCCGGGTTTGGGGAGGGAGGGTGGTTGGAAGAACAGGACCAACATAGCCCTACAACCCAGCTGTGCTGGGATCCTCGGTGTCCTGACCTGTAAAATGGGACAAGTCATATTGCCCGCAGGGTGAGTCACTGCGTGTGCAAGGTGATGTGTGGAAAAGGCT